GAAGGGCCGACGACGCGTCAGCATTTTATTCTCGAGTTCCCTCTCATTGTGCAGGGTGTTTAATTGCTCCACTCGAGAACAATCCAGAAGCTCGCTTTTCAAACGTGCTGGGCAGACGAGCTCTTATCAAATTGCGCTGTCTCGCTTTTTAATTAATATCGTACGAAAACACCTGCAGCGCCCGACTTTGGACGGCGAATTTCACCCAGTTGGTACGGCCAAAACTCTCGCATGTAGTACGGAGGACGATTTTTTGCCCGTTTCGCGCCGAGTGTTGCCGCAATTTATGGCCCTTTGTTTTATGAAAGATGCTCTCCTCCGTGTTAGTCTCGGCAGTGCGTGCGAGTTTTGTCTCTCTTTCGCCCTCCGCTATAAAATATGTACACGCAGCAGCTCTCGCCGAGCCAAAATCGCTGAGAGACTCTTTGTCTTGTGCCATGGAGTTGGAAAGTCTCGCGTAGCGAGCACTGAAAAGGCCTCGGCACTTGCTGCCTGCCTATTGCACGCGTGCGACCATTCACAAAAGTTACCTCGCCCGAAAACACATTTCGGAAAAGCAGCAAACTGAAAAAAGACAATCGTCCTCACAGCATAATGCTAACTTAAGAGCACTTGGACCTTTCATTGGGTTTTTGCACGTTCGGCCGTTATGATTCATATTTAAAAGTTGCTATTTTGTGGAAATCAACTATAGGACTATAGGTTATTTTTAATAATTAATCTCCTTTGAATGGAAAAAAAATCGATATGGTCAGAAGATTCAAAGATTATTTGATTAGTTTTCACTTCAAAAACATGTAGCAACATTTAATATTTTTTTTTAGCTCTTGTTGGTTTTCTGTCCTCAAATATATTTCCTTCTTTCACCATTGAAAAGAGAATATAAAAAAAATGTTATAAAATTTAAATTTTATTTAAATAGTAGAAAAGGAACAAAATAATAGATATTTAATAATAATAGATATTATATTAAATAACGTTTAAGAGGTTAAAATTAATTTTTTATGATTTTTTTAAACTTATTTGCGCAACCATTAAGTAACAAAAAGCGAAATTCATTTTTCTTTTTAATTTCCTCAGCATAAGTAGAAAACAGTATAAAATTTGATAAAAGTTTTAACATATTCAAATTTTAATTCAAAACATATCAGAAAACATGCCAAACCTTATTCATAGAGAGTAAAAAACTTCTTACTTAACTTCTGAAGGGACAAGTTCGTTTTCTCTCAAGATGAAATTCTCGCAAGTATGCAAACAGCGGAAATAGGTATGTAACACTCTCTAAACACTCTCCTGCGAAAATTTGTTCGCTCGCGAGATGGAAATGAAAAGCAAATAATTTGGCCCTCTGTCGGCCCAAAATGAAGCCATGCGAGAAGAGTGCAAATTCTGCAGAAGCGCAGTGGTGGAAAATCACGAGAGAGAAAAAGTAAGTTCCTCGAAACGAATATAAATCTGAGAGAGGTGAATTTGGCCCAAGTGGCTTTCGGGATCGTATCAGATGCGCGAGATTGTTTCCACCGAGAGCAGTGTGATGCAGATAGATGCGCGCGAGCAATTGATGGCCAAAGGCGCGCCACGAATACTAATCAAAATTCGGCAGGAATGCGCACGTCTCTCTCTGCGGCCTCTTTATCTGGCCTCGATCCGGAAAGGAATGGCTCTCTTTCCCCACAACCCTTTGCGCCGACTGCATTTTATCTGCATCCAAGAATTTATCCACTTTATCTGCCGCCGCATCCGGTTTTAAATTGGATATCACGGCTGTTGGGCGGTGCCAGTAAATATCTGGTTCTGAATCTAATCTGCGCGACCGCTTATTGCCTTTTTCTCTTCGCTACTAACACAATTAGAAAAAATATACTTCGCCCATAAAAAACCGTTAGACCAAGAAATGCACTTATGCGAGCAAAGCTGGAAAATAATATACTTTAAAAACTCCACTTCACAGACGTTACTTAATGGTAAGTTTTATTTTTATTGGAGCACCACAAGGCAATCTCTGCCCATATTAATTGTAAGATGCATCGATTGAATAATTAATTTAAAAAAAACGTAAAATGAAAGTGCTATAAAGAAGGCGTGACAAAAATGAATTTTTGTCAGCAAAAAAACAAGGAGTTATACAAAAATCATTGCATGTATTATTTATATTTAACAATGTGAAGATTAACCCTGCATCTCAATTATAGTTCAAGATTCAACAAGTAAACTTATTTGAATAAATTAAAAAAAAATTATACTGCCTTATTTATATTGGGGGAGATTCAATAGACTTCGCTCTCCCGGTAAAAAAGATATCCCGGGATAAATCCAATCTTTCGGGATAACTTTTTCTTAACCCTCGTAACAGGATAAAATTTTAAACCCGCACGTTATAATAAAATCAGCAGGTTATTAAAAGATCGTCAACATGCTTGCAAACGTTTTAAATTTTGGCCATTTGCAATTGATGGCCAAAGGCGCGCCGCGAATACTTTCTCAGATCAGAATTTTGCGACAATCTGAAAATGAGGCAAAAATTGAAATCAAAAGCCTAAGGGTTTACACCCCAAATTCTAAATTCCAAAGTTCTAAATTTCATCCCTTTGGTTTATTCCAGGATATCTTCTATTCTATTGAATTTCCCCCATTGACCATTGAACCTTGAACTTTTGAGTTTCATGAGTTTCATGAGATCCCTGGTATTTTGAAAACCATCATATATATGGCAAAACTTTGACCCCGTGGATATATTCACAAAGCAAAAACAGGCAGAACTCATCTCATGACCCTCCAAACGGTAAAAAACAATATGGTACCGTTTTTATCTTCGGTAGAGGCAACGATATTCAAAAGGATGTTGTTTGTATTGCCAAAATTCAATGAATGGAAGATTTTTCCACTCCGGAAATCGATTCAAAACTTTTTACGCGCCGAGTCTCCCAAAATTGCAACAGTGGTTCGGTGACGCTTACTTTAAGCAGTTTGATAAAAATCTGCGACTTTCTCCAACTTTGTTCTTGAACTTTCATTAATATTTGAGACGCGCGGTGTGTAAAAGTGGTTCTCACAGTTTCATCGCCCAACTCACGAGCGAGCAAGATTCGTTCTAGTCGAATTTACAAAGGGCGCGCGCGAGGAAATCGGCCCCTCGGGAAACAAGTTGCGGACCGCATGCGGTTCTGCAGAATTCGCGCGGCCTAAAGTTCGGGGGGCAATAAAATCAAAGAGTTGCGCCGCCGCTTTTCAATTAAATTCCACCGCCGGCCCACTTTTACGCGCAATTAAGAAAGTTCCCATCAGCGAAACTTCTTCATTTGTCACAGCGCGGTGGTGATCTTTTCTAGCAGGGCCGCGCTCGCTTTTTCTCATCATCTTCGAAAACTTATTGCCGGCCATAATGGAGAACGGCCGCTCAGCCTCGTCATTTCGCCGGGCAATTTGGCCCCTTGGCTGCCGCCGCAGCACTTCTTATACATGCCGGCGTGTGTTTTGTGCGCGCCAAGGAAGGGCAGCCAAAGCGCACTTAAACCCCCTTCTCGGGCTGTGCGGCGCGTCACTTTTTGCTTGTAATTGGAAGCGAACAAGATCATTAGTAGCTGCTGCAGAATGCCCAGGGAAAAAATGTGTTATAACGTAATTAGCTCGGTGCGGATTGGGATGATTTTGATAACCCCTCAAGGACATGCAAGAAATTAATGAGGGCAATTATTTTCGTATCTTCATGAAAAAACCAAGTAAATATAGGAATTTGATCAAATTAACTTCAGGCAACAGAGAAGTTACATAGAGAGCAAATTATAAGCGTTTGAAATTTTTGAATTCATTAAAAATCTTTTTCTATCGTTTCGGCGTACAATTGTTAAAACAGTCATGTTATGCTAGTAATTACATTGATTCATATTATTTGGAGACAGCATTGGTAATTTTTTTTGGGAGGAAGATTCTAAAAAAGTTATTCAACTAAATTCCTTACAATTAAAAAATTTGAAACAAAAGGTGAATTTTTTTAATGATCAAAATATAAATGTGTAAAAAATTACTAATGATGGAGAATTTTTATTCTAAATTGCGTATTTCCAACCCTAATTGTGAGCTTGCCATTCTGAAGTTTGGAATTTATTATTCTTTTTAAATAACAAACATACGCAATTCGTTTTTCCTACTTCGTGAAAAGTTAAATTTTTATAATTTTTCCATACTGAAATCAGGAAACAATCTTTAAAAAAGCCTTTTTTTCAACATAAATAACGCACTTCTCTCGTTTTGATAAACTTGTTCTTGCATAATTTTTTAATTTACTTATAGCGAAGGTTTCCCATAATGAGCAGCAATTGACTTGTGGTTCATTATTAAAAATTAATTGATAATTAATCAAACTCGAAGCACATAATGTGAAGTATTTTTATTTTTAAAATCAAGTTGAAATAGTATTAATTGGGATTGTTAACTTATATCGTTACTTTAAATTTTTGAGCGGTTTTATTACGATTTCATTGAACTTTGAATTAAAAATGAAATGCTCAAAATTCTGTGGTATCTATTAAAATAAATAAAAATTTTAAAAATCAAGAATTAAATAATATATTTAATTAAAATAAAAGAAATATAAAAAATAAAGTTTTAAATTTATTTGAATAATTAAAATATTTTATAGTTAAATGTTCTAAACATTGTTTTTTATTTTGCCATTTTTATTAATTTCTCGTTTCACTATACTTTTGTAAAGTTGTCATTAATTAATTAGACCTGTGTCTCCTTCAATAACCCTACGTAACTATTGGCCCGTGAAAGCTGCTCGTACAATTAAACCAGCAAAAGGGAGGCAATTAATCAATAACATTAACCCAAATCTAGCAGTTGACCACCGCTTCTCGGAGCCACTCGACCCTTTCCACAAAACTACTCTCTCAAAACTTTTGCAGCCCTCTCTCGACTCTCGCCAGTCGGCCAACTAAGCAAATTAGGGTGTTCACGGTAGAGCAGCGGCTTTAATGAAACGCGCGGGTGTGTTGCAGGCGGACAGGGGGCTCAGCAGCAACAGCCTCCGCAGCAGGCGGCGGCGGCGGCCGGTGGGGCGGCGCCCAAGAGTTTCTGGTACGACTTCACGTCGCCGTTCACCGAGTCGTACGACGACCAGGAGGCGGCCGAGGCCAACACCGAGGAGTCCCCGGGCGCCGACGAGGTCACCACCGAGCCGCTGCCCTTCTTCGAGGACGTCGACGCCGGCGCCAGCAACGTCACCGCGCAGCTCGGCTCCACCGCCACTCTGCACTGCCGCGTCAACGATCTCCGCGACAAAACGGTGAGTTGAAAAAAAAAAACTTTCACTTTGGGCGGGCGAGCGAAAAAGTCCCGCACTTGAAACCGAATGCAAATGACTGCGGCAATTCGCCTCTCATTTTCCTTTTTTTTTAGGGACCCACTCGAAACTTCTTTTTACATTTATTTTTTTAGGGAAGGGAAGGATTCGTTTCCGGTGAGGGATTTTTCGGCACTTTTTTTTTTTTTGAGTAATCACCGCGTTTCATTCTCTGAGTGCTGCCGTCCTTTTCATGTTTATGTTTTTCCAGGCGAAAGCGCGGTAGTGTTATTTTTTTAATGAGAGTCAGACAGAGAGACCCGCGACGCGATTGCCGTTTGAATTTTGAACGGCCAGCTTTTTCCTGGTGCGCAATTAGCGATGACAATTTCAAAGGGGATCTGCAAAAAAGAGCAAGCGTTGGCGAGTGTTGCGCACGATGAATGTTGATCCAAAAACAAATAGAATAAACATGCTTTGACCATACAAATGTACAACAGCTTATTTTATGTATATAATTTTTTTTTGTCCAGGATCAAGAGCAAACGGTTTCAAAACAAAATTAATTTTTTGTTAGTAATGCAAATTTTTTGGAGGACGAGAGATTTTGTTTTCTTTTTATCAAGAAATGTTTTCGATTCAAATTCAAAGCAGGATTTAAAAATAATTTTACAAAATAATATAACTAAATTTAAACTGCAACAAATCTACATAAATAAGCTAGAACTTCTAGAGACTTTAAAAATCTTCAAAATTAAAAAAAAAAAACGGAACCTTAAAATAAGCAGTTCAAAATGCTTCAAAGTTTTATTTCAGGATTTAATTATGTTTAATTAATATAATTAATACTATTTGACGTAAATGCAATAATAATTATATATAAATAAAAACAAAAAGAGCAGAAAATACATTTTTTGCAGCAGTCTACATTTACCATTAGCATTTATAAAATACAAGATTATTCCATTTAAATTATATTATGATCTTATTTAGGATTTTCTCATTGAAGACTCTACATGGAGTGGCATAAAAATTAAACATGCTTTAATTTATGCCGCACATAAAAGCAGATTACGTGACCAGAATCGCTCATAGCCTGGCCTAGTTGGAAAGACCGTTTTCCAGGAGCTCGGCAATAACATTTTTAATTAATTTCTGGTCACACAACGACAACACACCGAGCGGCCACCGCGTGCTGTCTATTTAACTAACCCAATTACGACGCGCCAAATTACATAACAGCAGTTGGCTCGCCGTACCATAAACACGGCGCCGGTGCCCTCCGCTGAACAATATTCATTTGCATCAGCAGACGTACCACCAGCTATACTACGAAACTCTCTCTCTCCGGCTGATTAGTTAAACTTGTTGAGCTAGTCCGAGCTGAAATTTCGCCCAATTACTTCCCGCCGGCCCAGTTGATTTTTGCAGCCCAGCAGTGCGCGGCAGATGTTCTCCTGCTCTGGGTGTGTTTTCATTAAAACGAGAGGCACATCATGAAACTCGCCTCTCGCTCTCTGCCTCGCTTAAAAATAATTCATCGTAAAGAGAGCGTTTTAAACAGCCATAATTCAACCGCGTGCTTTTCCGCCTTCAATGAACTGCATAGATGCGAGTCGTTTTATTAAATTGAGTGCATTTTTCAAAAGCTGCAATTCATTTTTATTTGCTTGCGCTATGATGGCGAACTGACAGTTAAAAAATTCTGCATACCACACCTTATGATTTTTATAATTTCGTAAATGCAGTTTATGATCAAAGTGAATAATTTTTACACTCAAAAGGGGAAAAATACATTTTTCAATTAAAAAAGAAAAAAATATTGTTAAAATCAACACTTGTTTGCAAAGCTGCATTCAATTTTATTATATTCCTCACTGAATTTTAATTTCTTAGGATAGCGAGGATTAAGTGAATAATGAATAATAATTTTAAATTTTCATAATTTTTTTTTTTAATAAAATTAAGTTTTTGTTAAATTGAGATGAGTATTATGAACTATTAATTGGGATATCTCTACCACAGGCTACACAAGTATAATTATTTTTTGTGCCAATCAAATAATTTATAAATATTTAAGTACAACATTAACAAACTTGGGAGGAAAATTAAATAGCTTCATCAAAGTGTTTTAATTGCAAATTAGGCTTCAATTAATTTTTTGTAACGATTACCTTGTCTATTGAATGCAATTTCCTTTTTTACGTTTATGCAAAGGGGATCAACTCATTTAGTCCCTATGTTTTTAGTAGAATTTGAAACGGAATTAAATAAAATCGTTTAGGTTATTAGATGTTAAAACTGTATATATTAGATTTATTAAATTGAAGAGAGAAAAAGAGAAAAAAAAGTCAAAACAAATTCCACCTTCAGCGACCTAGCAATTGTACATGGCCTTGAGCTTCCTGATGTCCGACGCGCTGAGTCCGGCAGTTTGACCAATGGTGGCGCTGGTAGATTGCTAGGTAGACAAATTAGTCGTTAGCTAAGCATTTAAATTTTAATTTATGATGATAGCGCACCCTTGCTTGGAGTGTTGGTTGTCCGTTACGTGAGAAGGCCTTTAGGGAGTAGTGCATCACACTTCCGTAGTCGTAACTCACTCCGAAGGGTGTAGAGGTCATTTTATTGAAGTTATGCTCTTGGCCTGTCCGAATTTATCAATAATTAATCCTCGTCAAAAAATTTAATTCAATTTATTTATAAATTAAAAATTTTATATAGCTGCTTTCTGAATTACTGACTGTCCATTTACCTGATTGGATATTCTGCCACAAGACATTAACATAACTGTCCCTGTCCAAGCGCGACTGCTCATGGAAAAAGCCAACAGCGTGCATTAACTCGTGGATAGGCGTTCCAACCTAATTTTTGTTTGACTAATTAGAAATTCAATGAGTTTGTTTTTAATTACTAACCACATTCACGCAGCCCGGAGCCTGCAAATTGAGGTTCTGAGCGCCACCGATTCTACCGACGGCAGACCAGCACCCTGTATTGTCACTTTTGATGATGATATGGTCGCCTGAGGTTCCTGTGAATGGTCTGAACCTGATGCAAGTGTTGCTTTGGAACGCATTCATTGCTTGGTAGATCAAATTGAGTTGATACGAGTCTGAAAAAATCTGATTTAAAAAATTGTCCGATGGAAATAAGTTTGGTTTTCACTGAAAGCGCCCTGGATTTTGTAGTAAACGACCGCATTTGGCCACCTGTAGCTGGTGCTGATGATTCCGTTCCTGCCCTGGGAATTAGGCACGGTCAGAATGTCACCTTCCAGGTATGAACCGAGCTCCTCAGGCTTGACTCCGGAATCAGGTTTCCAATTGTCAACCAACGCCCCTGAAATGAAATAATTTAGAATAAATTTTTGTGGTGTATTAAATTGATATAATAATTAATATTATTAAAAATTTAAAGACCCATTTTATTCATCATGGAATAAAAAAAAATACATGAACTGGGAAATTAGTATTGTTTAAAAATTTAAGATTTCAATTTAATTAAATTTATTATAAATTCAATTTTGATTTTAATAATTCATATTGATTATCATGTTTGAAGGAAGAAAAAAAAATTATTACTTACCAACATTGACATCGGGTTTTCCAATGCTCAGCATCCTAATTTTCCTGACTTCTGCATTATGTTCTTCGTCACTTGGCTTCTCAGGTTGCACATTGTCATAATTAATCTGCTCCAAAGGGTTTGCCAAAATTGCGGGCAACAAGGCCACGCACAAATATACGTACAGCTTATTCATCTCTCAATTAATTATTTCATATACTCTGCAAAATATGTTTCTTTTAAAAATTGTATTCAGGAAAACTTTGAACAATACATTAAAATTAAAAACATTAAATATCTCAGCTTGCTGCTATTAAAATCAAGTGAAACTCTTCTTACCTGTTTGGTGCGTATAATGTGGCAGGTGAATTTGAGCAGCCGTATTTATATTCATCAGTGGGGGATAATTAACTTTTGTTTTGTATCAAATTGCACTTTTATTATATTAGATTTGAGCGGCTTAGAAATTTTATTTGAACCGCACTGTTTATCAAATTGTTATTGCATCTTCCCTTTTACTGCAGCATGGTGTGATGCTATTGATAGCCTGCAATTTTTTTAGATAAAGTAAAATAAAAAATTCTCAATATTGGACTTACAATTAAGTTATTATAAATGTTTCTTATATTTGACTCGAGCAACGTCATTAAGAATTACTGCGTTTCCTCAACTTGGTGTGTGGTAAGATAACAGCTTAAAGTATAAAAATGTAATAAATTCACACCATGCATAGCCGGGAGTTTTGAAATAAATAAGCTGTAATAAGATTATTACATTGATGATATTTATATAATTAAATTATATAATATATATTCAATACTTTTTAGAGTCTTGTATACAATTATTTACAAAAATTCCGAAAAACAATTAGTTAAAAGCTATGAATGCTAACATTACTTGAATGACTCATACAAGATTTAGCCCCATATGAAACAATAGAACTTAAAATGGCAAAGTCATAATGGATTATCTTAGCAAAAGCAAATTAGGTTAAGTGGACAATTAAACCACTTACTTCTAAATTTTTAAGAACCCGAAAACAATAAGATGTAGACATCATACTATTTTCTTTTTTTATCTTTATTGCTACGCAGAATATCATATCTTGTGTTCTAATTTTAAAGGATTCTAAAAATAGATTTTAAGTGCAGAAAACTTGCTAAGAAGATTGATATCTTTTTTTAAGGTTAGAGCAAAAATAATAAATTTTGGTTGCTTATCAGTGGCTACTATTTTTATATTGCTACAATCTATGTGAAAGCCGTGTAGATATAAGGTTAAAATAGCCGCATTCCACTTTGCGACGCTCTCTTGGAATTATTAAAAAAAAAAATATTAACAAACTCAATTTGTAATAACGATGAGATATTTTATTGCAAAGTGATTTTATTTATTTATCATTAGGCAATTACTGCCCAAGTTCATCTATTTATGTATTCAAATATTATCAATATATAACATTCAAGAAAGGGTTCATTAACAAATTATCTAAGTTTCATCGAGTTTTAAATAACTAGCCTTGACTTTGGCAAAAATTATTTTATTTTTTATTTTTATTGTTAGATTGGAAAAGGTGAAGACCTTAATCAAAATAATCAAAGTAAAAAAAAATAATAAAAAATATTTAATTCAAGGAAAATTTTAAATTTATTTAATAAAATATAATTTAAATAATTAAATTTCTTTAGAAAATCAATTCTAACATTGTTATAAAATGGCAAATTACACATATTTATATTATGTTTGTTGCTATTAAAATTTGGTTTCTAGTACAGTTTTCTAGTTATTTTTTACATGCCACGGCTGCATGAAATGACATTCCCCGTACCGAGAGTGTGCAAACAAAACGAACCGTCAGCCGATAAATCAAAGAGGGTTCACAATGGCGAAAGCTGACCACCATCGCGTCGCGTGCAATTAATCATCAAATGAACTGGAAAATCCAATAAGAGCGGCGAGCTTTGTTTTTCCACTAGTTTTAATGTTGGCGCGAACGGATCGTTTAACTCAAACATATCGCAGCGAGGGGTCCGTTTTAATTGGCCGCGAGTAAATTTTCATTTTGCCCCGCGAGCTGCATTGCAATTCGAACGCGCATTATTAACGGGCGAAACTACAGGGTCGTTGTTGGTGCAATAAATTTCGCAGACGCACATTTGCGAGCTACAAAATAATGCTAAAATATGTGCGTCCGCATTTTTTGCCCCACCATAGAATTTGTACATTTTTAGTGCCGTTGGCCTTTGTTTTATTACACCAGCAGTTTTGGAGATTCCGCACGCAGGGTCATCATTAAAACGCACTCAAAAACGCACCTCCTGCTCGCGACACAAAATTCGCGAAATTCTCGCCAATGGTTTTCGGAATTTCCGACTGATTTATGTTCGGGACGTATGCAAATGACGTTTATACTCGCGGAATAAATAAACTTTTATTGCCCCCTGAAAAAACAACACAGCTGAGATACACTTTCGGAAGCAATTTCATTTCAACGCTTTTTCTCTAAAACGGAGCGAAATTCAATTGCAGCCGGCGGCGACTTCATTTCTCTCGCGATGCGCAATTGTTCTTTCTTCGGTGTAATTTAATTTGAAATGCAAATCAGCAGTTCGGGTCTCGCTGCTCTTTCTCTTTTAATTTGATTCCGTCCCGACAGACACTGCTCTGAACAATAAATGCAGCGCCGTACGGTATGTGTATAATTCCATTTCAAGAAGACAGAAGTGTATCTTCGCAGCCAGTCAAAGTCAATCAATCGCTCACGCGAGAGAATTCTTTCCAACGGAATGCCTCCGGAAATTACTTATTTCGAGTTGGCACTTGAAAAGAAAAGAGGGCAGTAGCAGTCCGTTGGGACTAAGAAAAAATTCAGAATCAAATTTACTAAAATAAATAAAAAAAATAATTTTTATTTTTTATCTGTCTCTGGGCCATAAGCTTTTTTAAAAGCATTTTTTCCGGATAAATAATTATTCTTTAATTTAAAATATTTTTTTTTCAAGCGTGAATCGATAAGGAAAATACTTTTTTTTAATTGAAGAAACTGGGGCTCTCCTAACCTATCTAAAGAATTTGAATTTGAGCCTCGAGTGTCACCCGATTTATTGTTGATAGTTGCTAAAAAGCACTCAATTGAAACAAAATGTTCAATTAACCTTACTTAGGTTAAACCCTCTATAGTTTTGAATTTTTATTTTAAATTATTAATTAAATTTTAATACCTTTTTTATTTTTTATAGTTTGTGTAGCATAATTTTTGTATTTATAAGATATTTCTGGGCTAATTATGAACCAGAGGAAAATGTAAACTTTTTGATTAGTTGAAATATCTCCCTTGCTTTTTCTACCATTCTTCCCTTCACTTTCCATCATTAATTTTTTCATACATTTTAAAATGAGCTCTTAAATTCTTCCAACTCAAGAGTTTGTCATTGTTAAAATAATACCGGATGGATTCCTCTCTTTCTGTGTTTGTCGTCCTCTGCAGGAGACGACGAGAGAGCGAAATCGCAAAAAGCTCTCCGGCGGCTGTTCGCAATTTGAGCAGCGGCCAATCGGCAAGCACACTGGCTAAACAAAAACATTCGCCAGAAAAAAAACACATTATATAGAGAAAGAGAGAGAGAGAGAGACCGAAAACGAACAGCAGAGGCAAAGAGACGGAAAAAAGCGGCGCTTCATAAATCATTTCGCAGTTAAGTCGGCAGTGAAAGAGATATCTGCAGATTTTTCGCAGATTCGCATTTTTCATATTTCGCGTCACGATAACCGGCGGCAGGTGAATCGGTAAATCACGTGATAGCGCAAAATGCTGCCTCTTCTGGGAAAAATTACCAAAGTTTCTAATCGTGCAAGGCAAACACGCAAAACTCCTCTCTTGCTGACGTCGAGTTGTGTTATGATTAAAAATATACAGAGGTGCGGTTTAACTTTTTATACACCGCGAAATGAAGTCGTTAATTATTCGTGGCCGCCAACTGTTGAAAAGTTTTAGGAGCCGCGAATTTCGTAGCAGCGGGGGGAAGTTGCCAAAAATGGTGCTTTCATTTTTAATTAGTGCCATGCGCCAACGTTAATTAGGATTTGAAGCGGATTGGTGTGCTTAATGTGATTATATGCGCGGCTGTTTGTTATTTGAATGGACGGTAGCCGATTGCGTGGCACATCAAAGTGATTAGTTTTGGTTTTGAGTATTGCAAGTTAAAAGTTTTATAGGTTTATTTAAATTTTGTGAATGGATGGGGTTTGTTTATTAATTGGAAGGTTGAAAGCCCTAATGAAAAATTAGAGGCTCTTGCAGATTTTTTAAAGTTCTTATTAGTGATGAAACTACCTTACCGTTAGGCCTAAGGGGTCCATCGATGCTAAAATTTAATTTCAATAAAACTAGACTGGTTGGGATAAACTTTATTTTATTCTTTTGTTATTCTTTACAAAATTAAAATGGATCTTTACGTCAAAAAAATAAAAATAAATACGGTGACTAATTTTTTTTACTAATTATTAAAATATGTGAAATTGTATAGATATTCTCATATTTCTTGAATTTTTTGGATTTCCTTCCTTTTTCACCCAAATTTTTAGAACAAAAATTAACTTTTTAAAGACTTATTCAGCAGATAAAGTCTATGTACATAATGTGCCAGTGTAAATATTTTCAAATTATTTTTTGATTTGACTTTTAAATTTGATAAATTTTGATTTGAATCGAATGAGGGAGGAATAAAATTTAAATTTTGAAAGTTATTTTTTTGCTAGTTTGATTAATGTACAATTTATTCATTCTAAAGTTTTAATGGCATTATCCAGAGACAGCTGCTTGTCTGCGAACTATATGAATGCGGATTTCATCACTCACAATCAGATGAGAAGGTTAGCCGAATTAGTTTTGTTTTGCTGAGCGTGTGAGTGAGCCTGTGGCGCACAATTCGCAAATTGATGGAAACACTGCTAAGTTTGGGAGATGTAATGTGCACACAGCTGCCGATGACAGTTGGCGCAGCGAAAGGGAAGCGTTTGTCTGTGTTCACCCGCTGGATTGCGTAGCGACCCGAAATTAACCAGAATAATATACTGGTTTGGAAAGTGGTTTTGCACAAAAGAGACACGCAACTGTGTTTGCCGACAACTTGAGATGTTCGCACAGAAGTGAACCAAATTTATACTTCATCCGTAAACAAATATGTCGAGAGATCCGAAATTGCCTTGAAATTTAATTA